TATATATATATATAAAAAGTTGTAAAATAGTTGTGACTCACCCATCCTTAGTGGTTATTCTTCATGTGTGTTTGTAGTAGCACTTCCTCTACACACATACACAGCAGCAGCCATATACTGATATGCAAGACTCTGCCATAGAATATTCCAAATCAGGACACTACAGAATGGATTTACTTTGCACGTGTGGCTAAAATTACTATCCAGCTAATGAAATCTTTGGCAAAGTCACACCAATCAGCCTTTCAGCTGTTCATTTTTCTTAGCCCACTATGACACCCTTCCTGCAAACACCTCCCCCCTTGGCTGCATTATTAACTCCCTTTCCGTTCCCATCATTACACTCACTAGTCCCTGAGGAAAGGGTGGGGTGGGGGTCTTTTTTTATTTGACCACTTCTTTCACTCAATTCAAGTCAAAATTTAGGCTTCTCAAATGCCATACAAATACATGCTATTTTCTGTCAGCTAATTAGCTATAAAGTTTAGAAGGACGTATAGGGCTACTATGACACCCTAAAAGTAAAGGTTTGCTATAGATTAGGAATTCAGCCTGTAAATCCTGTAACTAATGGTTACTATTTTAATTGAACTTTATTTAATGCACTGAAGAGATGGCCATTTGAGGTAGTAAAAAGGTGTTTGCCTTGCAATAAAAATAGCCACATACCTTTAGATGCGAAATCCATAGCAAAGTGATTGAAGCCTAAGAGGGAATAAAATCTAAACAGTTTATAAAGCTTAAGCGTTCCCTAGTTGTATCATATAGTTCTGGAAATTCCAGTGTTTATTATTCAGTAATTAAATATTTATAGTAAAATTACAAGTATATTTCCATCCTAAGTAAGCAATTAATATAAATAACAAGTCCATCTGCTGCCCCTGCTAACCAACTGATGACATTGGTTACAGAGGTGCCGAGGTTCCATTATTCACTTCAGTTTACAAAAGGGAGTTGAAAATCCTGCTCAACTGCCTTCCTGCTGCGATCCAAAACATCAGTATGAAAACAGCTTTTCACACACCCCCTTAACGGGTGCAAAAGACAATTTTACCCTTACTAAATGAGTTAAGAACGTAATTTAAAATAAAATGCAAGATGTAAGGCAAACAAATCCTCTTTACAAATAACTCTTGAAAAGATTAATACCGGAAGAACAGGTTTAGTTATGGATTTTGATCGAGCCTTCCTATATTATTTTATTTGCAGAATCAACATGAATTAACCAAGATTTTTGGCATTAGACACAAAGGAATACATTTGGTAACACCTTGTGAACTGAAAACAAATGAGAGAAGTTAGTGAAAATGCTGACAGTGTATTCCACTAGGACTTTCCAGAGCAACCCCAAAATCTTGTAAATCAAAGATATTACTATAAAGCAATGTACACTAACATTTTTAAAGCGCTGTAACTCACATTTCCGGTTACTGAGTAGGTAGCACCACACACATATTAACCAAGTGTTTATTTCTTGAAGACAAAAGCAAGCAAGCAAATTGCTTTTCCATTTCTTTTCTGTGGATGCTGAAAGAGACAGCTTTCTCTCAGTTTTTTTGGACAATATAGATGGAAAACACTTTACAGCCCTCTTTCCAAGGTGATTTTCACAACTCCATCCACATGAGCGGAGCAGCTGTAAAGGAGTAGCATCTAGACAAGCAGTTAACACCCTCCAGTTGTCACTAGGATTATAGAACTTATAATAATATGTGATTATTAAAACCAAAATGTTATAATTCACGAGAAACAAACAAAAAGTCTTTGTTTTCCAAAGTAGCACTACCCATGCATGTCAGGAACATAAAAAACTGTAAATTTGTTGTGCTACCGTTTGTCCAACTACTAGTTCAAGCTCTTCCAGAGATGCATTACAAAGCCGGTGGATGCTTCCGAACTGCTGCAGTAAAAGCAGAGCTTTTGTTTTCCCAACTCCTGGAATTTGTTGCACCGTCCTGAACACTGAGGGCTCTGCCAGCTGAGAACACTGCTTACGAAGAAAGCGGTTACTGTTGTGATCCTTACTTTGTTCACGGACCTGAAGCAAAACAAAACCAGAAGCGACACTGAGTGCCCTCTGCTGGAGCTCTGCTTTTGGTTTTCAAAATGGCTTTTTTCATCTCAAAATCTCGAAACAAGCTCCTTTCTTTAGTGGCTACCCTTATTAAGTGTTTTGATGCTGATCCACAAAGTATCACTAGGAAATCAACAGTTTAATACCAGCCATGAATTAAAACGAGGATTTTGTAATCTTTTTCATGCAGAGAAAGGCTGTCGCTCCTCTGGAAAGGTACAGAGAAAGAACATAAAACCCACAGTTTTCCTAACCTAAAATCACATCGGTTTTGATAAAGAAATTACATGAGGATTGCCTAATGCCATCCAGTGTCAACTCAGTGCAAGATCACATTCAAAAAATCCACTAAGATATTCTTCAACTTTTTTTTTCTTTGTTCCCAAATGAGCCCTCTTTCCACTGAACTATACCAATGTATTACTGTTGCAGGATAGTTGAAACAACAAAATATGTTGTATTCCTTTAAGATCCCAGATATTCTTTCTCAAATGAGTGATGATTGTGGAAAAATTGGTACTTCTCCTCATGTCCCACATTTTAATAAATATCTGTCCACTAACACAGAAACTTACTAGCTGGGTAATAAGTTGAGAAGCTTCTCCTTGATTTGCCACAGGGAGCAACACCATTCCAAGTTCTAGCACAACAAGCTTTTGTACTGCTAAGAAGTACTGATCGCTTATTTGGGTCTTCTCTACAATTACAATTCCCCCAAGATTGCTGGCCTGTATTGAAAGGAAAAAAGAAGAAAAGCCCTTGTTAATGACAAGCTGATGCAACCGAGAGAAAACTTCTGTCAAGTATAAGCTGCCTGAAAGCAAATCAAAGGAAGAATAGAAGTTGCAGCAACTGTACTTAAGTTTAATACATTACACAGCAGCATAATTTTTCAGGTGGAAATTATGATGAAAGTTTAGCTTCACTAGAGTTTGAAAATAACACAAGGTGAATGTTTTCAGAAGCATGGAATAAACAAATACCAGTTGAAAACTTTTCCTTTTCTCTTCATGCAGTACTTACATTTCTAAATCGAACCAATCTTCGTTTGAATTCATCCCCTGCAACTAAATCTGCTTCAGAAATATATAAAATGCAAGTTCTGTTTGAAAGATGAAAATCCACAAGCCCCAAGCCATCTTCAAAGACAAGTCTAACTTTCCCTTAGGGCGAGATTGTTAAAAGAAAAAATACCATAGTTAGAAATACACTAATAATTACTTGACAGCACAACCTTCCTAATGCATCAATAACCCTCATGATGTGGCAACAAGCTTCACTTGTGATGCCTTTAATAAAGACAATTAATAGCAGTTCTGAGCTACAGATTTGAAAGTGCTATCGCTGCCCAGTAAAATCTGGACTCAAAACAAAAACATCACATGCTGTTCTGAAAGAATCAGCTTGGTTTGCTGTGCCAACAGATGTCAGCACAGGCTCAGTATTCATGTAGATTCAAAGGACTTCAGTGGAGACGATATTCACAGTAGTCCCACTGCTGTGGTTCCCAAGCAGCAGATACACACAGTAAAGCACAGTCCAGCCAATCTTAACAATACTGGCTGACAGAGGGGAATTCCTTGCCTGATTTTTTTTTCTTGCCTCTTTCGTGCTTACCTTGTAGCCTTCGGGCTATCTCTGACCCTCTCCACTTCTCATTTCCAGTCACATGTCCATAAGGAACAACTATGGATCCTGCTGTCGCAGGGAATTTTCCTTTCGTTGCCATAACACCTCCTTTAAATCTTTACTCCAGCAGCAGTTACTCTAGAAAGAAATCGGGAAGCGGTATTACCACGTTTTACAAACCTGTCCCAAACTTAATTTTATGATTGAAACTTAGGAGACGCAACACTCCAGAAACCCCATCTTGTCCCTGAAGCTCCCTTATAGCTAACAGATCAAACCACTTGAATACAGGCCGCTGGCCTGCAAACGCCACTCCTCGATCTGAAAAACACCCCAGTTCAGACTCGGGGCTGGTAACACACCCACACCCGCGACCGCGCCGCCTTTCCTTGCGCCTTCCTCCACCCCTGCTGGGAGAAAACCTGCTTCAGCTACAAAGCTTCCTCCAGAGCCATCGCCTGCCCTCAGCTGGCCGGTGTTCCCCGACAGATCACTAGGAGGCGGTTGCTGGCAGGGATTACTGTCAGTTTACCAGCCTCACGCACCCTTCTGACTTTAGGGGCAAATGGAGCCTTTGAGCTCAAGGCACGACTTAAGGAGGAAAAGCCAAAG